GAGGTGGGTCTCTGGCTGTCCTTCCACGTGGATCCAAGTGGGTGATGCGGAAGAAACAAGAATAACGTTGATGCGGGCAGAGGCCTCCTGAGAGGTTTTGGGCGCTCTCCGTGGCTCTGTTCTACCAAGGAGGAAGGAAGCCCACAGTGTTAGGGGCAGTGGGACTATCAGAGATGAAAAGGACAGAGAAAAGGCATTGGCTTTGGCAACTGTGGCCTCACTCGTGTCCTTTCTGAGAACAGTTTCAGCAGGTCAGGCAGAAGTGAGATCCAGCCACAAAGCAGTGGGTCAAAGAGTGGTGGAGAGTGAGGGCCTCGGCTGGGCACAGAGGAAGCAGAGATTTCCCGCCCCTCGGCCTCAGGGTGTGGAACCACCCTGTGACAGTGCCATGGCCTTCAACCCTTAGTCCTCTCTGCAACATGTGACGTCATCGTGAAAGAAACTGTAGCAGCAAAAGCACGGGGTCTGAAATCAGAGAGCCCAGGGGTTATACACTGAACCTGCTGCTGAGTCTCTGTGGCCCCAGGCAAGTTCGTTGCTTCTTGAAACTGAGGTTTCTTCCTCTGAAATAGTTGACAGCAGCCCTACCTATTAGGAAGGCTACAATCACTAAATTAAATGATCTACTCCGAGCTCCTGACAGACAGAGAGCACAGCTTCCTAATATAATACACATGGTCACTGTTACTTCTTTTTTTTCAATTAATTTATTTATCGGAGTAGCATTGCTTTACCATGTTCTGTTAGCTGCCGCTGTACGATGAAGCGAATCGGCTGTACGTGTACTTATGTCCCTCCCTCTGCGGCTGCTCACTGCAAACCTATTACAGCTTTGTAGCCGTCACGGCACGATTCTTAGACACAGCTCTGTCTTCTTCATGGAATCAATGGGAAAACCAGCCAGAGGACAAGAGAGCTGGTTCCATGAGCATGTGAGGAACGGGATGCCATGCCATTTAATTTATTGATTTACTTTTTAAAAAATTAAACTACAGTTGATTTACAATATTGTGTTAGTTTCAGGTGTACAGCAAAGTGATTCAGTTATACATATACATACATATATATTTATGTGTGTGCATATATATAGATTCTTTTGCAGATTCTTTTCCATTATAGGTATTATAAGATATTGAATATAGTTCCCTGTGCTATACAGTAAATCCTCGTTGTTTATCTGTCTATATATAGTAGGTGTATCTGTTCATCCCAAACTCCTAATTTATCCCTCTCCCCCTACCCCACCCTTTCCCCTTTGGTAACCATAAGTTTATTTTCTGTGTCTGTGTATCTATTTTTTTCATAAATAAACTTATTTGTATTACTAAACATTTATTTTGTACTCTGCATCTGATCATTCCCATCTCCACAACCTTTGCTGGTCAAGTTCTGCAGTTTTGCATTTCTGCCACTTTCACTCATGGTAGCTTGTTTTCGCCTGTATTTGGTGACTTTTTTATTGTGATCTCAGGTTTCTTGGAATTTTATTTGTGTGATTTTTTTTTTTCTTTTTGAGGTTTGTCTTTTTAAAGTGCATTACTCTACAGAAAATATTTTTGCTTCAGCCAGGTTCTTGGGTATACTGCCAATCCGGGAGTATTTCAAATTAACTTTTTGGCGTGAGTCCATTTTTAAGCTAATCAAGTGGTATGAATTCTTTTCACAAACGCTGTGCATAAGGCTTAGTGGTTGGGAATTCTCAGAGGAACTTTGTCTCTCCAACCTGCTCCACCATAGGACGAAGGCTGATACCAGCACATAAGTCTTTTTCATCAATTCTTTATCAGTTCTCTCTTCTGGGAGGATTTTTCCACCTTCCACCCTGCTCTGGCCCAGGTCCCATCTCTGCTTGTAAAGACCAGGCCTTGGACAGCCTGTGACTAGGAAAATAGCCCCATAGCAAACACCAGATTCCTCCCTCCCTGCACCAGTAAGATTTTCTCTTTCTTATCCTGACCTTCAGGGATTTTCCAGACTTTTCCATCAGATCAACCATTAGGCAAAAACTTTTCTTGCATATTTCATCCAGCATTTTTAGGTATATAGACCTCGGAGAAATTGCACTTAGCATGCAGTGCGCCATATTGCTGAAAAGTGGCATCTTCAAATTAGTCTTTGATAAGTAACATTATATATTTCTCTGATCTGTATGCATCCAGTAAGCAATTTTAAACCACTACTACAGAATGACAAGCTCCTGAACCTTAAAAAGAGAAGCTGGGGACGTAGGATCGGGAAGGGTATTTGCTATGTTCACTTAGGGTTAGGACCACACGTGATCTGAGCTGATTGGAAGACGCGTACTTGAGATACAAAGCTACTTACTAAATCTTGTGTCCGTTCTCTTTCATCACAGCTTCATCACCGGGCTCTGGGCCATGAGTGGTCTCTACGTTGTCCCAGAGCCAAAGGAAGTTTTCTGTGACCTGTGGTTGCTTCTTAGGGTTAAACTGATTCTGCTTTATTCTAACAAAGTATTTACAAATCACATGACGTCATCTGAGTTACAAAGGAAGTTTCCTTTGTGAACGGGAGAGCTGATTAACAGAAAGAAATTGGTTTCACCTCAATGACCACCATCAGGGATGCACCCCACATGCCCTTGCTGGTTCACGGGGTCCTGTTCCAGACGATTGTCGGGCTGGTGCCTTCATGGGATGTGTCATTTGTTCACTGACTCAGCTAAAATGTACTGAGTGCCCGCTAGGTACCATGCACTGTGCCAGATGCTGGAGAGAAGAGGAAGACACAAACGTGATCTTGGCCTTGGATGGATTCACTTTCTATTGGAAATAACAGAAAAATTAATACTAATTACCATAAAAACCATTAAATGCTGCAAATGAGGTGCAAACATAGTTATTTACCTCCTAATACTTCACTCTTAAAGAGTGAAAACTTAAACATTTCAAAAATATTTAGAATCTAATGATGAAATGATAAAAATTGGATTCGTATCTGGGATGAAGGATCCACTCACCGGATTCCACATCTGATCTAGGTCCCTCTCTGCACTGTGGTATCCGAGGGTGATTGCTCTACTTACTGACACAGTCGTTTCTTTTTGGCTGTGTTGGGTCTTCGTTGCTGCGCGCGGGCTTTCTCTAGTTGCAGCGAACGGGGGCTACTCTTCGTTGCGGTGCGTGTGCCCCTCGCTGCGGGGGCTTCTCTTGTTGCGGAGCACGGGCTCTAGGTGCGTGAGCTTCAGTAGTTGCAGTGTGTGGGCTCAGTAGTTGTGCCACCTGGGCTTAGTTGCTCTGCGGCATGTGGGATCTTCCCGGACCAGGGACTGAGCCCATGTCCCCTGCATTGGCAGGCGGATTCTCAACCACGGAAGCCCTGACACATTCGTTTCTGAGCACAGCCATCCCAGCACCACTTACTTTCACTCTCACCATCTAGAAAACCTGCTAAGAGACCATGGTGCTGGGTGGAGACCCCGTGTGTGAGCATCTCTGGTTTGGGTTTCCATCCTTCAGGTTTTCCAAATTTTTGATTTGATTGGCCCTGGTGCTGTTATACACGAGGTGAGCATCCTGAAACCTGGCACTTGGCGTTTTTACTACTCAGAGGCCTCCTTTGTAGAATAAGTTTGATAGCTGCCTGATTTCTCTAGGTTACTTTGATGGGCCACTGAAATGATGGAGATCAAAGTGTAAAAAACAATGTGTTACAACTTTGTAAAGTATCATCAATGTTATTATTAGAGTAATATCAGAGTATTAGAGCATTTCATGTCATTTGATTTCTTCACTAATTTATATTTTAAGTCATTTTTATTACTTTCTTAATCTAAAAATAGCTCTGGGAATGTTTTAAGAGTCATTACAAATTAATAAAATGACCCACACGTTTGTATTAATTTTAAGGCATAGAAGAAAATAATTTAATACCATAGAGGCCAAGAAGGAGGGGTTCTGTTTGGATTAACATTTTGAAATATATTTCTAGACCACAGAGTTCTTGTACTAAATCCCCAAATGTACCAATTCTTTTTCTGCATGTGTCATTCAACACTGAAGTAAGTGAAGAGATTGTAGTGTCTGAACAATTAGACAGGCACAGAATATCTTCGGCGGCTCCTTTGAAATCCCTCCTCCTTTTCGTGGTATATGAGTCAGGGGTGATTCATTCCTCTGACTTGAATAATGTTAGCAAACATTTCTGAGAGCTTGCTGTAGGTCTGGAGGTCATTCTGTTATCAGGTAATGTGTGTCAGATACTTGTCCTGAACCTTCAAAGAAATTAACCCACTTGGTCCTTGATATCACAATGCACTAGGCATTTTGATTTCCATCTGAGATGGGAACTTTCAGAGAGTTAAGGAATGTTCCCAAAGCCACGCACCCAGGTGGAGCTGGGATTTGAACCCAGGCGGCTATGGCTCCAGAGCCCAATCTTGACCTCTAGCTGTTCCGCATTCCTGCTGCCACTTCCTCTATCATATCAGCTTCACCTCCCTGTTCCTGCCCCGTCCTGTCTGTGACCACGTTCCTGTCCAGGTGCAGGAATGAAAGATAATAAGATGTTGAAGAAAGTTTAAAAGCAAAGATTTTGGAGTCACACAGACTCTGCTGCTTGTCAGATTTGGGCAGTTGTTTAACATGTCTAGTCCTCGATGTAAAATAAAAACTAGTACACTGACCTGATGAAACATCTAGCAAGAAGGTTTTAAGAGTATGTGTCACCTTGCCTGCATGTTAAGCACCCAGTAGATGTTACGTGTTACAATTATTCAAGACCATAAAAAAGAGGAACTCGAACTGCAAAACTGCAGTCTTGTCTTAGCTTGTAGGCACAGGCCAGATGTTGAAACCATGTTGGTGCTTGTCCCTGCATGGCCAGGAGCCGCCCACCACTTGTCAAGTGAGTTGACTGTTGAGCTTCTTGCCTGAAGGCACTTCCATCTCTAAGAACTTCCCGTGCAGTGTTTCAAGGGACCCACGTTGGAGCCCACTGTGAAGATCTGACTTTCAGCTCCTTCTGTCTCATTTACCCAGGCCTACCGAGTTGATGAGAAGACGGCAGAGCGGGCTCGGTGGGAGCACGCCTCCAAAGAAACGATCAAGAAGACCTCTAAACCCTGTCCCCGTTGCCACGTGCCGGTGGAAAAACATGGTGAGTCTGGGCTGGGCAAGAAGTGAGGGCGTCTCAGGGCGTCGGCTGCGTGGCTGGGACAGTCAGGGGCTCTACGAGGGCCTGCTAGCTGGGAAGTTCAGCGCTGGGACTTTGGCGCCATCTGGCCAGAGTTTGAGTCTCAGCTCTCTCACGTCAAGCTTCTTAGCCTCCTAAGCTGCAAGTCCTCTTCTGTAAAATAGAGCTGATAACAGAAGCTGCCCCGCAGCAATAGAGCCATATGACACGGTGGGTGGCAAATGCCTCCCGGTGCCTGGCACAGAGAAAGCACTCGAGAAACGCTAGCTGCCCTTATTATTATTTATTATTAACACTACTGAACACTTTGCACCTGCTTTTTATAAACAAGTGCTAGGGAGACGTTCCAGTCCAATATTTCCCCCAGAGCGCCCTCCACACTACTTTGGTGTCTAGAGCTACTCAGCGGGGAAAGGCAGGTGCCACCACGTCACATACATCTGGCACTCGGTTCCCACTGTATCCCCTCTTGGAGAATAACAACAAGGAAAACAACTGACTTGTACTGAGCACTTACTGAATGCTGGTTCTAAGTCCCCTTCGAGTATCAGATCATTTAATCCTCACAGACACCACATAAGGAAGCTATTATTATCCCCATTCGTAACATACATTCAAGCCGTTCAGAGAATGCCTTTTGTAAAGAATCTGTTTAACTTGGTGTAACCAGTTGGTTCGCAATTTTTTGGCCGTGAAACTCTCTCTTTCACGTCAGTGATTCCTATCCCTTCGAACACGGGACACACTCCGGGCTCTGGTTTCACCATCCCTGTGGCGGAAGAGTTAGTGCCTTATGTTGGGGTGACGCTTGGCTCCGTCATTAAACTATCCTTTCCATGAGTGTGTTTCTGAATGGGACTTTTGCCTTCTACCAGCTTCTCTCTAAATTTCAAGCATGGGAGGGGATAACTTGGGGACACCTCTGGATGGATGAAACGACATTCACCGTAGTCAGGGGCTCCCAGGAGCCCACGTATATCTGCTGCTTTGCACAGCTTTACGGGCTTAGAAACACCACCGTCCGTATTCACATGGTTCTCCCTGGGGATAGTCTACACCCAGGGCAGCGTCTCCCTTCCCTTACACGTGTGGTCACGTCCATGCATCCTCACACCCTGGGAGCCACCACAACTGTGGGGAGACCTGAGAGAGCTCCTACCAGAAGGAGCCCCTCCCAGCTCCCAGCTCCTTGCCTCCTGCCAAGTGGCCCCATGTAACCGCTGGAGGCCACTGAGAGGGAGACCAGCTGGGCTCTGGGGACACGACCATGCTCGTGGCTGTGGTTTTTCCTCCCCCCGTTGACCTCCCCCTGCTCTGATGGCTGCTCTGTGTGATCATGTGGCCTGGGGGCCATCGCTGTGTAACCCTCCGGGCTCTGTAGTGTTGCTGGAAGTCAAACTCCAGTCTATATTCAGAGCATTCCTCTGGCCTGCCCCCTTCCCAGGGGCCCTGCTACCTCGCGGGAGCTGGCGGGGCACCCATGCCATCCACCTTAAAGCCATCCCAGCCCAGCACCCAGCCTTCTTTCTAAATGTGAAACATGTCAGTACGTGCGCGGTAGGGTCAGCAGCATTAGCTCGGCTGAGAAATAAACGAAGCACAGGTACTGTTTTTCCCATGTTCTCTTCACTGGGCCTTCACTAGCCACCCTTATTATTACATATTATTAACACTATTAAAGACTTTGCATCTGATAAAAAAAAAAGAAGATGGTAGGGAAACTTCCCGGTCCAATATTTCCCCAGAGTGCTCTGATATCTAGAGATACTCACTGATTTGTCGGGGCTGAGAGCTGGCCTGCTGTGCGTGAAACCCAGCCCTCGGCCCCAGGGTGGGCCCTGAGGCTCTCTTTCCTCAGAAGAGTACCCGATAAATAAATATTTGTTGAACTTAAAAGGAGCTAGGAAAGGAGATAGACACATAAATAGATAACCTTATAAAATATGACAGAGAAAACAAGCTAGTAAAGGAAGACCTTGTGGTTAAGAGACGGCTTCCTGGTGGAGATGATGCCTGAGCCGAGAATAAGGGTCAGGGTTACAAGCCAGGCAAGGACGTGGCAGAGAAGCCTTCCAGGCAGCCAGCAGGTGCAAAGGCAGGGAGGGTAGAACATCAGTGCCAGTGTGTGCAAGAAGACCAGCTGTTTGGAGTTCCTGGAAAAGGTTGAGGAGCATCTGCTGAAGCGGTGGGTGGCAGGAATGTAGGGCCCGGAATGACATGCAGGGCTTGGACCTGATTCTGTAAGACAGGGAACCGCTCCGGGCTGTGAGGCCAGAAAACGAAGTGCTCAGGCCTGCCTTGAGTCAGACCACACCTGCAGCCCCAGAAGGTGGAATTGAAGGGGTCAGATGATTCCTGACTATAGACATGTTTCCTAATCTGGTTCTTTCTTTGAAATATTGTGATGTACTCTCCATGGAAAGCTCTGATTTTTCACCTATAGATTTTTGGTTTTAGTGTCTACAACTGATTTTAATTTTTAACAAAACGTGTGTTCACTTTACAATAACCAGGATAGCATGTTAAAGGTGGATCCCCATTGGACACGCAATTCTGTCTCTTGGAATTTTGATTCCTTGCCAAAGGTCCAGGTACATGTGTTCCAGAATATTCTCAGAATCATTAAATCATGAAAAATTGGAGCATATGCAGGTGTTCTTTAATGGGTAGAGGGACAGGCAATCTTTAAAAGAATGAGGCAGAGCTAAATATACTAAAAAACAAAAAAATGCACAGAATATATTGTTGAGGGAAAATGCTTCTTTGCAATTCTGTGTAGTGTATGATCATGAAGGACTAAAGGGAAGGTTTATGTTTTCTCAAAATTTTGTTTGAATCAATTCGAGATGAATGACCCGTACTGAGAAAGTGTCAGACAGTAAAAACACATCTAGGAGTCTGGGATTAGGCAGGACTGGATTTCGTTTCAGGAAAACCTGATTCTCCCACTGGCTTAGAGGTCACACCTATAGATTTTTAACCTGTGAACTGAAAAGCTGAAATTTTCAGCTTATTAATGATAGTCTCTACTGTTTTAAAGGATATCACTACGACCAGAACAAACTTAGGCTCCATTAGCAAGAAAAGCTAGTCTCATTATCTAGCTGTCTACCTAAATTCATAGCCTGTTTCCTATTCAACTGAATCCCAGAAAAGTAGTTCTTCCTTCAGCAAAGCTGTCATGATGATGAGAATTATTTCCATTTTAAACGCAGGCTGAACTTGGCGCTCCCTCCTACAACGCCCTTTAATCCCCGGAAGTTCTTCCTTTACTTCCACCTCAAACAGATGAGATTCAGGATTCATTTTCTCTGCAGTAAGCGTCTGTTGCCCGTTAAATGTGCCTTCAGGTCGTTCAAGAGCTTCTGATCTCTCATTAAATCTAAGGGCAGAGTGGCCAGGCCATGGCGTGTTGGCTGTGCACCGTTGGGGCTTTTCATGGTTTGAGCATCAGTCAGGAGACGGAATCCTCTAAGAGGGAAGCTAGACTTTCTCCATGCAAATATCCACACATGAGCACGGCGCGGTCAGCAGCTTCTTGCTCGAGTTTACGTTTAAGCCGGCAAGGCTTTTAGAATTGGAGTCCCTGACTCTTCTCCAAATTATGGGGTCTAGCATATTCCTTCCATATTACACACCAGGAAGAAAAGAAAGTTAACAACATGAATATCCTCTCTCTTGCTATTTCCTTTCTTCTTATTCCACTGTGCCATTGTGAATCTAGTTTCTATAATAAAATCTTACTTGTTAAAGATAGTATTCCAGATCCGTTGAGATTTTGGTATAATAGGAAAACATTCTCGACCTTTCATTCAGTCTCACTTAATAGTCCGTTGAATTTGAATACATTGCTTAAGCATTCTTTATGATATTCCAGAGAAATTTAAGTGATTATACAGTATTACATTATTTATTATATTATTGACATCCTAAGTGCACAATGAATAAATATGTGTTGAAAATTACACAATCCTGTAATTGTGTAATGCTAATTGGGAAATAGTAAGAGAAAAGTATCACACGTTTTTCCCTTTATTTTCCACATATTTGAATTTTTAAATGATCTTTAAAGCAAACCAAAAAGAAGTAGAAAACTATGGTATTTTAAATGCCCTTAAGTTGGTCTAAAACAAATGCCTTTAGTTACATAATCATAAATATTTTATATTAGCGCAAGCTCTCATGCCAAGCTTCTAATATAAAAATGAGACAGCACTGGGCTTCGTTGGTGGCGAAGTGGTTGATAGTCCACCTGCCGATGCAGGGGACACGGGTTCGTGCCCCGGTCCGGGAAGATCCCACATGCCACGGAGCGGCTGGGCCTGTGAGCCATGGCCGCTGAGCCTGCGCGTCCGGAGACTGTGCTCCGCAACGGGAGAGGCCACAACAGTGAGAGGCCCGCGTGCCACAAAAAAAAAAAAAAACAAATGAGACAGCACTGAAGCAATTCTTGGGAAATTTGGCAAGAAAAAATGGCTTAACAAGACAGTTGGTAAAGTTGAACAATGGAGCACATTCGGTGCTACATGGAATTCAAGGAAAGACATTGCTTTTGATGGGTTATCTGGGAAAGTCACTCACAAACATTTCTCTACATATAACTTCATACAAATAACTTTCTCTTGACTTCGCGGCAGACTTGGTGTCTGATCCCCAGAAGCAAGTAGGGAACGTATTTAACAAATGGGGGAGGTGGGGAATCCCAAAATAAGGGACTTTTCATCTCATACTGGAAAGGCCCTGTTCCATGAAAGAAAGAACATTGGAATCACCCACATCTTGGTTAAACCTCCGGCTTCACACTTAAAAGCCTTGAGACCTTGAGAAAATTCTGCAACCAGTTAACACCCTCATCTCACAAGGTGCTGTTGAGGAATAAATGACATAACAGATGTAGAGCACCTAGTATTATTCATTAGTTTCTCGCTATCCTCATCTTAAATAAAATTTTGAATAGCATGAAG